ATACTCTGACTACACGCTGTGTAAAGAAGTGCTTCCTTAAATCCAGTTTGAAATGTTCTCCCGCTAATTTTCACCTATGGCCACGAGTTCTTGTATTTGAACTAATGCTGAAGTAACTATTCGGTTGAACAGCATCCAAACCTGTTAGAATCTTATAGACCTGGATCATGTCCCCCCTCAGTCTCCTTTGCTTGAGGCTGAACAGATTTAGCTCAAATAACCTTTCCTCGTATGACATTCCTCTAAGACCAGGAATCATTCTTGTGGCCCTACGCTGCACCTTTTCTAAGGCCGCTATGTCCTTTTTAAGATATGGTGACCAAACCTGTACACAATATTCTAGGTGAGGTCTCACCAAGGAATTGTATAATCTTAGCATTACCTCCCTTGACTTAAACTCCACACACCTGGAGATGTACCCCAACATCCTATTGGCCTTTTTTATTGCTTCCCCACACTGGCGAGAATGAGACCGCCATCTTCCTCAATCCACTGTTCAAAATAGCACTTTGTTTAACCCTGACAAACGCCTTGTAACTGTGTAATGTTCTCCTTTTTAAAATTAAAGAAACCCCTTGCACTTATAGCAGTCTTTCCTAGTTTGGTCCTGGGAGATCCACAGATTAGGTAGGGAGCGAAAATGTGGACTGTCTGGGAGGGAGCAAAAACGTGGACCGTCTGTAGCTCCCCGAGAACCAGATTGGGAAACAATGACTTAGAGATAATAGTGAGACTGTTACCCTACAGATGTATATTATATCATTTCGGGAATGACTGTGATGTACTTTCTCTCATTATCCTCAGAGTATCCCTACGGGGGTTTCACCCACCCTGCCAGTTTACACCGATATGCTATGAGCCCCTGGCAGCCATCGCCCCCCCAGGACACCGCCCACGGGTAAGGGGTTTCACGCCCACCGCTATGACGGTGGCAAAGCTTTGGCAGGAACTCTGGGTCACATACAGACGTTTAGCACACGGCCTTCAACAGACCAGGCACCTCAAAGTCAATGATGGGGGAAGTTACTCTAAAAGTAATCCTTTACAGACAGAGGTGGGAAGTTCCGGTCCAGGGAGAACAAATCCAGGAACAAAAGGCGCTGAAAATGAGAGTGCTGACCAGTCATTGAGCAGATCTTAATTTTAACATACAGACCAGCAGCCGCCCCATACAGAAATGAAGACAGCATTGCAGATGCTTGAGTGACAGAGGCACCATGGGAAAGCAAGGCTGAATACCGCTGGAGGATTTTATCACCAGTTTGAAACATTAGAAGCTGTTGACCATACAGAGCTAAGGCCTGGGGAGTCCTGACTGCACCTCCCGAGTGCGTTTAACTCTGTCACTGCAGGATCTGAGCCAACCGATGTCAGCATGTGCCAGTGTTGAAAGGCAAATACAAACGCAACTAAAAACTAATTATAACTAACTCAAAAATAGCTAAAACTGAAAACTGACTAAAAGCAAGCCAAATGCAAAAATAACGTATATGCCCAGTTCCTGTGAGGGACTTTTCCAGTCTCAGTACAGACAATTAAAAGTAATCAGCCATTTTATGAAAATGTATGCAAATACATGAGATGGACCTTAACTTTCTATATTTGGTAAGGGTGCAGCTTTGGCAGATGGTCTGAAGTCCTTTATTACCTGAATAGTTTAATATTTTAACAGTTTATCACTGCTGATGCAGATCAGCAGCGCATGTGCAGCTCAAATCTACACTTGACTCAGATCTGGTACTGATGGGCTTTGTTTTTTAGAACCCATCCTCCATAGCCAAGGTTGTCTGAGATCAGTCAGTTGGAACTTGCTTACATGTGACAGGAAATGTCTGTGCGATGGGCTATGTGGAAGTCCATTCGCAGTCTTCTGTGGCTGGAGCTTACCTCAGCCAAAGACCAGAGCAAAACCAGTTTCATTGTGCTGTTTTAGAAATATTAAAACTCTAGGATAAGTCCAGGAGCTGGTGCCCCTATAAGGTGCCTGACCAATCGGCACAACCGAAGCTGAGGCAGGAGGTCATGCCTGACCAATCGGCACAACAGAAGCTGAGGCAGGAGGTCATGCCTAACTTCTCGGGGTAGTTTTCTCTGCTGCAGTCCACACTGCCAGTGAATTATCCTGGCAGTGTAACCTGGTTCTAATATTGTGCACAAGTGACACCTACAGGCTAATCCTGGCATTGCTGGCATAATACAATATTGATTAATAGGTGTATCTCTCCGGATTCCTTGCAACGTACTGGTATCCTACAGTGGGTCCCTGAGTGGGCCCTGTACCTCGACAGATTGACTCACGGTGTCACATCTTGTGGGGTGGTGCGTGGCTCTGCAGGTTAGGCCTTGTCTTTGTAACCAGAAGGTCAGTGGTTTAAATCCTGGGACTGGCAGACTGATGTCATCATTGGGCCCCTGAGTAAAGCCTTAACCCACCCCACCACCAGGGGCACTGCACACTGGCTGACTCTGTGTGCACCAACCCCCCCAACGGGAAGAAATTAGGGTGATTCAAAGTGCCCCTAAGTGACAGGGGCTATAAAAATTGCATTGGTTGGGGGGGGGCAATATTATATGCTTATGTGGGGCCCAAAATCTCTAGCAGCACCCCTGGATGGATGCATGGCTATGTCATTAAATCAAGTGGGATTTATGTAACTGGATTTAAAAATAATAGCATGTTATTGTTACGGGAGTAAAAGCATGAGCCAGAACGCTTGCGGAGGACTACTGAGCGGTACGAGATGTGTTCATAACCCCTGCTCTGTTTGCAGGATGTCCAGCGGGGGCTGCTCCCTCACAGCGCCCAGCTCCGCAGCAGCCCCGCATCTTCGCTCCTCCCTCAACCTCAGCATCAAATCTGAGCGCGCCTCCCCCGAGCACTCGGGCTCCCCGGCCACTCCCCCCCTCCATCGCGTCGAGCACCAGTCGCCAATCAGCAACCATGAGGAGGCAGGCCACGCCCACCCTGAGGCATACCCCATCATGGAGAGGGAGGATGTGCAGAAAGGAGGCTACCTGTGTCAACACGGCTCAGCCCGGCCCACGGCGGACGACAAGGGCGGGATGCCGATTCGGCAGCTGGAGATCGTGGATGGGTGGCAGAGATAGCCAGGCGGCCTGTGAAGGGGGGGTGGCTGGCTTCCCGATTCGCGTATCCCGAAGGATAAGCCCCAGTGTTCTGCTCGTCCTTGTGGGATCACACAGTTCCTTTTGTGTTCCGGAATGGGACAGAATTCGGGCCGGCTTGTCGGTTTCAGATACAGCTTCTGGATAGAGGAAGCGAAATCCCTCTTACGGCCGTGTGGAGCCTGAGCAGATGAGCTGAGCTCAGGACGTCCCCTTCACCTTCACAGGGTACCAAAGGCTTTGCGTTTCAGAAAAGCATGGCGCCGCCTGAAAGCCCCCCGCTTCTTTATCGTAGTTTTTATTCTGCGCAGTAGTCGTGTGTCAGCGAGAATTGGTATAATCCCCTCCCCCAACGCCAGTCAGAGATGAGGCTGTGCGTGGTGTCTTTTTACATTTCACATAATGGCCCCCTTGGAAACCCAAAACTCAAGGTGTGGCAGTTCAGGTAAACTAACTAAACTTAGCTGAAATGCCTGTTGGGGTGTAGTAAACCATGAGTAGTAACAAATTATAAAATCATTTTATAGTCTTAGATCTTTTTTTTTTCATTGAAATGACTTTTTACATAGTGATAGTACCACGTTAATGTTACGATTCGATTGTTTTTCTTTGTAAGTTTTTCCTACCTTCACAATTTGACGTGTCCCAATAAGGGTTTTCTGAAAGATGCACTAGAAGATACCAGGCTTTCACCATCACACTTCCTGCCAGCCTCATATCTCATTTTTAAGTGAACGAAGCAATTTTAAATGGATCTGATCTACCAATTTGTAATATGGCTTTTGATTACCGTGACTCGTGCTCTGCTTCCAAATAAAATGCCTGCATATTTCTTTTTCTGTTTTCTGTGGAAAGAAAGAAATATCTGTAGCTGAAACTTGCTTGTGTTTGCTTTCTTACAAGACTCGGTGTTTTAGCATCGGGGAAAACATACATAGGATGAGCCAGATTTTGTTTTTTTATTTCTGAAACTTTACAATATCTAAGTTTTTACGTTGATAGCACTCTGAACCTCAGATTTAGACTTAAGTCATCCATTAACAATTTGTTCTTTATTGAACAAAATCTTTTAAATGAATGAAATGATTCGTTCAGTGAGCGATCCCTCGTTCATAACCTAGTTGCCCTCTTTTGTCACCTGCTGGTGTAATGATGTACAGACGCCTGATGGAGTCAATGTGGCTAATATAATTTAAATAACATTAAGTATAAAATATAATAACATACAAAATGTGCATTAGAAATATATATACCATATTTAATAATATACAAATATGAAATACATTTGGATAACATGGAATTAAATGCAATATATCAGTTTAATAAAAATTTTAATACAGTTTTATTGTATTAACTTACAAGCGACAGCTCTCCGCCAGCAGTACATATTTAAGGCATACTTGCCGAAATTAAACATTGCAGGGCGAATTCAAGATTCCCAGCGTAGCAGTTCTGTGCCGGGCCTGCAGAGGGCGCGAGTGCCTCCAGGGGCGCCGAATTAACCAGCCAGTTTCATGTAGCCTCAGACGGTGCGGGAGCGCTCATCATCCTAAACAATGTGAAATTGTTTGGCTAAGTCTACGCCCCCTCACAAGTCGGCCGCCAATATATTTAACCGGTATTGCCTATCAGTGAAGGATTTTGAACGAATCTTCGTTAAACGTACTCGAAAGAATAATTATTTCCATCTCTAGTCAGATTCATAAACCCAGCGGCGTGTGTGTGAGTCAAACCCTTCGTCATCCTGGAAGGTAATAGAACATGCGGCTTCCAGCAGGTCGTGTGATCTTCTGCGGTTTATAGTCTTTGCCACTAGGTGTCACCCTATTACTCTTTCTCACAGTGCCGCGAATCTTCATGAAAATAGTCCCTGTCAGATAAAAGCATGCGTATCATTAATACTTTCTTCATTTTTCTTGACAAAAGAGACAATGAGGGAACAGCCTGGGGAAATTCAACCCTGCTTTACCACGGTGGATGTCTCCTTATTATTAATGGAGCATCAGAGAATAAGATATATTTGGCGCAAACAGCCCAATGTTCACATGATTCCCAAAAAACTTGAAACTAATAGCAGCAGTTTAATAAAAGAGGCTACACGGTGTGCCATTCCTCTAACACTATAATTATAACTTTAATGGTTACATTTTTAAAACTGAATTTGCAGTTTAGTAATATTACACACAACTGCATGCTTTAAAATATATTGGTCGTAACATCACAAAAAGATTCTGAAGTAATACGCTAAATTTATCTACCTTTATATTTTATTTAACGTGTTAACCAAACGTCTTATTAAGTGCTTAATTGATTCCATCTCTATTGGGCATTTGTTGAAATGCATCGGCAGTCATCTTTAAGTCATTGCGCCTTTCAGGTATTTTGTCTGTTTATATGGACGTAAAATAATTTAATATTTCATATTTCAACATGGACAATTCATATCCTATGAATTCTCGGGAGAAAGAAATGCTTTTTTCCAGTTTCTGCAAGAATATGATATACTTGTTTTTCATTGCACAGAACTGTACGTCTATATTAACCTTAAAAAAATCATCTTTTTTTTAATCAAATTGTTCTCCCCGAACATGGATTTACACCCCTTTCCTTCCTCAAGTTAAAAGAAAGCCACGGGGGTTGTGTCTGGGCTCCTCCCTCGAGAGTAGGGGCGGTCTGCGCGAGATGTCTGCATTCTCCACTTCAGGTCTCTATGGCAACAGCCGAGGCCGCTGCAGGCTTCAAACGGGGCCTCCAAACAGATGCACATAATGAATGTAATTATATAGATATGTCAGCCCTGTCACCTTCCAGTTCATTAAGCGAGAGACTCTCCCACACCTGTCACGAGTGCCTTGATTTCGCGGGAATTCTCTGCTCTGCCTCGGGGTACATTATACAATATGTGGCTTATAAAACGAGGGGGCACGTGAGCTTCCTTCGTAGGAGGAGAGATGCACAAAAAAACCGAAGTCTGCCTGCTTGGAACAGTTGTTTGCTCCCTTTGTCGAAGGGTACGGCATCTTAATATCCCCACTTCGAATTCCTTCAGGTTCCACCGTAATAAAATGTCTCCGTCAATTTCAGTCGCTTAACATCGTTTAACTGCCTCGTCGCTTAACGACATTGTTCTCCTCTCTTGTCAGATGCTGTGGTTCGCCATTTACGGTTGGAGAAACTCTGCAAAGTGCAATGTCCTGTTTTTTTTTTTTATATTATTATTTTTAAAATAACCAAAAAGCCTTATATATGTTTGCCAACTTTGGTCAGCTTGCTGGAGTGAGTTTTTCAAATCCAGATACGTCTGCACACACATGCACACTGACTGACATGTATGGATCAGTTTTATTACCTTGTAAATAGTCTGTAGGGTTTGCAAATTACCCAACGCTTTTCACGTAGCTAATTTTAGGTTTATAATGGTGATAATACGGATTTTCCGTAAGATTTCTTGCGTGAGCGTGAATGTCACGCCAGGTGCGTGAGAGCTGGCAGCCATGCATCATGAAGGATCCCGTCAAATGAGCCGAGAATCCGGCCTGGCACGTAATGTGAGCGATCTCTTAATTATCATCGTGCATATGCATACGGAGGGGGTAGCGCAGTTTCAGGCATTTATCTTACCAATGCTGTGCTAGCAATTTTAGTGAAACCTACTGAGTAAAAACAATCAGTATTATTACCATTGTGATATTTCGAGTCTGTTGATTTGTACAGACATATCAGAGCCCTGCTCAGCATTTTATAATATTTTTATTGTTATGTTTCTAGATTTTATTATGAAATTTTTCATTTTGGGCAAAGTAGGGTTTGACCTGTGAAATGGTATAAAAAAAAACTATCTGGAGAGATTATAGCTTTGCAGGACACTGCCGCAGGTCAAAGGACATAGACCCTTGTGGATTAAGTCTATGTTACAGGGGATGTGTGGAAGGTCACATCAGTCTCCCACACCTGCAGTGTGGTGTGGTGTCATGTCATTTTATTGTGATCCCATTAAGAAACATACTATCAGAGAGAAAAGCCACAGTGGATAGCTATAGGGAAACCAGTACAGATGTGCAGGAAGGCCACAAACTGGAGGATTCAGTCATAGGTCACTTCCCACAATCACTTTTTTGCTACAGAGAAGGGAAATCTCAATATATTTGAAAGATTAATAGAGTTGCTAAATTGTCCATAAGTGTGAATATGTGTGTGTGTGTGTGTGCGCCCTGCAATGGGTTGGTGATCCATCCTGGGTTGTTCCCAGCTTTGTGTCCGTAGTTTCCAGGATAGGCTCTGGACTCCCACGACCATGCAAAGGACAAGCATGTATAGAAAATGGATGGATGGATGGACGGACAGACGGAAGAAGATAATTTTTAAAACATTTAAGTAAAAAAATTTTAAGAGTGAAATTTCACCATTCACTGTTATTAGTTTCTGGATGGTAGCGATGTGGCTGTTTGTCACTCACTCACCCGTCTGACCTGCTCAGTGTTTGACAGGTACTGTATTGTCCCGGATCCGGGCGGCTCGGGTGCGAGAACGAGGCATAGTGCACAAAAAGGGTGGACGACCCACTGGCAGCTCCAAGAGCAAAAAATGGGGTTTATTAAATAAAACAGAAAACACTACAAACACAACGAAACCAAAAGGACCACGAGGGTCAAACACTAAAGGGGATAAATAAAGATTAAATAACAAAAACTTGGCAGGTAAGCAAAATACACACATCACACACACTTCTCTATACAAATCAAACACAATCAATACAAACCACTAGAGAACAGAACAGATACAGGGACTTAAATACAGAAACCAAAACTGGGTAATAAGACTAACACCGGACTAATTAACAGAGACCAGGAAAACACTGCACAGGTGAAACTAATAAACTCAGGAGGAAAACAAGGAAACTAAGAACTAACCAAGGAAACAGGGAAACATAAACCAACACTAGGGAATTACAAACAGGTAAAGACACAAGCAGGGGCACAAGGAACAAAACCAAAACCAACTACAAAATCAGACACAAGAACTAGAGTAACTCAAATGAAACACTAGGGCGCAAAATACAAAAACAGAGGAGCTGGGATTCGAATGCAGGACAGAAGGGTTCAGACAACTGGATGCTCAACACATTGAGTCAAATGACCAGACAGACTCAATTAACCGTCTAAACACACACTGACCACTGGCCACACCAAGCCCAGTGCCTTTACTGATTTAGTGTGGGAATCAAACGATAACCCTAATAAATCATGTCAGTTTCCAGACATGGGTTCTGTGAGTCTATAGCTGTACCGCAGTGTGGGCTGCTTCTCTGCAGACCAGACACTCAACAGAAGCATATTTTTCGGAACAAAAGCAAAGACAAAGCTAATCAGTGTGCAGCATCAGAGCATCCCCGTTTCTGAAAATCAAATGGAGAAGCCGGCTTTGCCATAAAGGTATCAGTGCCAGTGGCCTGTTCCAAGCCGTCACAAAGCAGGGGGGTTTACAGACAAATAAAATTTAATGGACTGAAAGGTCAAGAGGCAGAACAGGACACACCAAGTTACCATTGTCATCTACAAAAAAACAACAACGACCAATTTGTGGTCGAGAGATAAATTCTTGTCACGTCTAGTGTCGCCCATCAAAGAAAAGATCAGCTGACCCCCCCAGAAGTCACATGACACTGCTGTGTGGCCCCCTCCACTGGGCCCACAGTACATGCATAAAATAAATGTGTAAAGATACGTGAAAAAGAACAAACCAGGACTCCTAATCAAATCATTAACATGAAACAATAAGAATAAATAAAATTAAATAAAATTTATCACCTTCCTTGGTATGGGGATCTATTGAGATTAAATTTTTTAAATTAAATATAATTATTTATATATAATTTGT